TCCTGAATTTCTTTTGTTAACTTGTCCATCTCGGCACAGTCCAGAATCTTTCTTATTATTTCGTCTTCATTTGGTGTCAATTTGTTTTTCCATTTCTGAGCGAAAGCAATCCTAGCTGCAGTGATTAAGTGTAAAATTAAATATAAAGTCTCTTTTTTTATATTGGTCATCATTATTCCTAATAGAAATGCCTCTGATTTCCAGTCAATTTGTTCTCCTGTTATTGACTCCAACCAATTTTCTAATCTTTTTCCAATATTTTTTGGCTGTCTTCCACTTCCACCATGTGTGATAATATGTATGATAATATGTTCCGTGGGCTTTTTCACATTTCCAGCATTTTGGCAATTATCATTGGCGATATTTTTTACTTTTGTAATTCATCTTTTTATCCGCTATTGCATTGTAGTCCCCAATTAGACAGATGTTTTCATAGTCCAATTCATTTATTTTATTATGTAGTTTCCTGTAAAAATCCTGTTGATTCTGGTTTCGGGCGTATATTACTATTAATAAAATCGGTTTTTGTGTTGTTTCCAAATTAATCATTAAAATCCTGCCCTCTTCGTTGGCAAAGATTAATTTGGAGTTTGGAGTTCTTGTCTGCCAATGAAGTATATAATTTTCCTAATTTTGCATTTTCTAGTAAGTTAATATGTTCCTTTTAGATGTGTACTTCCTGCAGATGTGTTGTGTCTGCCTTCAGTTTCCGGAGTTTTGTGAAAATCTGTGCTCTTTTTTTTATGCATTCATCCCGTTAATATTTATCGAAATGATTGTTGTTTCCTGTTCCATAATTAATTGGGATGTTTTTTGTTACTTCTAGTTTGTATCTGACTTTTCCCTCTCGCGCCTTCCCTTTCTGCTCTCGCTCTCTCTTGCTTCTGTTCCTCTTCCCTGTTTCTTTACTTTTCCTCGGTTGATTCTTCTTCTTCTTGACTTCTACTTTCTAGCTCTTCTCTGCTTCCTTGTTCTTCTTCCGTTGTAAAATATTTTTAAAAAAATTCTTGGGCTTTTTCTATGCTCTCAATTTTGTAGTTTTTTTTTTTTCTTGCCATGAAACAAGTATCCTTCCGGTACCAACCATCTGTACATTATTCTACTTTTGTTTAATTGATTACTTAGAAATTGGTACTGCCTTCATTGTTCTCTGACCTAATGACCACCAGCTGAGTGCAATCACCTCCTGTAACTGCGCAACTGTTCCTGACGCCTAGTAGCTCTTCGATGGCGTGCATCCAGGAACAACTCACTGCTGGCATCCGGCTCACCCTTGTCTCCTCCCCACTGGTCCAAGGCTCCGGTGCATCCTGGTGGCTAAGCAGCCGCTCTGCGTCCTGCTCAGAGTCGGAACCCTGTCCAGGGTCCTCCACATCCTCCAGAGCTNACCTCTTCTAACCGGTTCGGTAGATTTGACGAACTGGTTCTACCGAATAGGTGCGAACTGGTAGGTACCCACCTCTGATGTACATGTTAAAACTGGGAGAAAGATTGAGCACCCAAGGAATCCCACAGAAAAGAGGTCATGGACTAGATTTCTCCTCTCAGCATGATTGCAACTGGTCCTGGACAAAGGACAAGGACCAATGCAGAAGTGTGTCTCTTATTCCTAGTCCCCCTAGAAAGATAATATGATCGAAAGCCACTAACAGGTCAAGGAAAGTCAGGATGAATACACCAACCCATTCCATTTTTGCTAAAAATAATTAAGAAGTGTGATTGATGCCATTGTAGTCCTATACCCAAGTCTAAATCCCAGTTGAAAGGATTCAAATGATCTTAAGAAAGAATTGGAGATAGAACAAAAGCTATCAAAAACGTCAGATCTAGTATGGCTTCTTGAGGAGTGGGGTAAACCATAGCTTCTTTAATCAGTGATAGGATTACCCCTTTCTTCAAAAACAAATTCATCACAAAGCTACATAGGTGTTCATTTTTTAAAATTCAAGCTTCGTTTTGGTGGCTTCTGCCTCACAAAATATAGTCCTTTTCTGCTCTGGTTTTGGAAAGTGATTCTATTGGGTTGAAAATAATTAGCAAGAGAAAACAATAAGACATTTCAAAAGCCAAAGACTGAATTTAAAAAAGAGTGCTCTGCATCACCTTTCAGAGTTGTAGCTTTGGTGAAGGATTGGGTCCACAATAAAACTACATTCTTTCTCGAGCCTAGCTGCCCCCATCAGAAAAAATATATATTATCACTGGAATTGAAAGCCCCAAAACAAATTCAATTAGTGTTGGATTCAAATCTCTCCATTTGTTTCCCAGCAGAAATAATTTCAAAGGGCATTTTTCCTCCCCAGATAAGGATGCAAAACAAACGCATACGATTTTACTGAACTATAATATCTGGAGGAACCTAGAATTTGTGAGCTGCAAGTCTGAAGCTATGTTTGGACACTAGAACTGGTTTCACCATACAAAAAGGAAATTTAAATTTAGGATAGTAATTATATGATCACCTCTACAAGAAAGCAATGCCACAACTTCACTCGGAAACTACCGGTAGCACATTTGGGAAGGAGCCATAAATAGGGCTTAAATCTCAATTTGCATGTTTGTCAGTCATCAAATATAGTGGAGTTGGGATATAAACTATTAAAACATAAAAATACGATGATTACAAGTATTCCACGCTATTAATTATAGAGCTGCTGCTGTTAAGACTCCAGATTAGTCCCCACCTCCAGCTTTAATCCTCTTTTGATACACATATAAAAAAGAATATAGCCAAGTAGATAATTGGCTGCCTTGGGACATTGGTGAAGGTTCAACCTCATGTCTGAAAAAGCTTTTGAGCAGTAAGTAGAGACTGTATTAACCTGAATCTGTTTTTGCTCCTCCAAAGTAATTACTTCGTCACTGTAAAGTATCGTTTGATATAGTGATTAAGATACTGTATTAGACTAGAACTGGGTAATTCAATAAAACCAGATTTTCAAAAAGCTAATATTTCTTCATAATAAACCATAGTAACTCTAACATTAGTAAAAAGTTTCAGGAAGTCAACATTTTTCCACTGGATTTCCCTAAGTCCAAAAAGAGACTCTCAGAAACCATGGTAACATCTGTTGCAACATTAAGATGACTTGGATGACATCTGCAATAAATAACCTACCGTTATTTATAGTTGCTTTACAAACAGCTATAGTTGTTTGGAGATGTCAGAGCATAAACAAAAAGATACAATTCTCAATGTTAAAAAGTGAATTTCTGGAAGCACGAGAGGAATCACAGAATTTATTCCCACAGCTTAAAAAAGCGAGCAAAATGCCAACCTAATATTCTCTGCCAACTTTATGACCTGCCAGAAAGCTTTTCTTCAGAAGCTCTGCCAGATGCTATTGCTGGATTTCCAACTTCCCTTGGAGATAATATGTTGAGCCTATTTATGTATTCAGTGAACAAAGGCTTTATCTTATGCTGTACATAGACTGGTCTTTTGATCAGAAATTGAATTTCACTTTAAATGTTTTCCTAATCTAATCAGAAGTGATAGGATTGTTCATATTACACCCTGGATTTGTGTAGAATAGAATCACTTTGTTCAAAATAATAGAGCTGGTAAAAAAACAAAAAAACAAAAATGGATACTGTAAGATATCACATCTTACAACATCCAGATTTGTGTAGTGGTTAATGTATCAGGCTAAAAACTGAGAGTCCACAAGTTCTAGTTTCACCTTAGGTTCAAAGCCAGCTCAGTAACCTTGGGCCAATTCCTCTCTCAGCCATAGGAAGTCAACATTTCATGTAACTCTGCAGTTAATACAGTTACATATTTGATATGGACGAAATTGTGTGTGCAATGTCTGTTTAATTAACATAAAATTATTTTTAGTCTTAATAAAACCAGACTTTGAACATACCATTTTCTCCATGTCAAATAAGTAACTTGTTCAATTTTTTCTGAAGTAACAAATAAAAGAATATAGATTATAGATTATGAGTACACAAAGTGAATCTGAGTAGAACTAGGATACCATCTTGAAAAAGCAGAATTTTCCTCCTCACAGGACAACAGGATCCCTTGTACATATAGTCTTCTGGATTATAAATTAGCAAACTAACTTAACACAAAATCTGTGGGTATTTTTATACTTTTTAAAATCTAAAATGACGTGAGTCAGGTACTAAATTCTTGAATCATGAATCATTCTGAGATTTGTTCAATTGTTTGCCAACTGTAGAGAAAGTGCCTATCTGATGGTGAAATACTGAATTATTTGTGTGTTGTTGTTTTTTACCAATTTAGAAAAAGCAGAAAGTGAGGTATATACAATTGTATTTAAGAACAGACATTTTATCTTGGTTTTGAGGCTGACCATGATTTCCTCTCATTGCATTGGCTCAAACAAAACCAAAATCTTACTTAGGAAAGATATAGAAATAGCCTCCATTTGACATCACTGTAGCTAAGCTAGATTTCAGGTGAATGAAATCTAGTTTTTTTTCATGACTAATTTAAAATGCATTTATCCCAGTCTGTTTCTAAGAGACAGGAATGGCAATGGCCTGAACATCATCCATGTCCATCAAGAGTAAAGAAGTAAATTACGTGCTGTGTATTCATTCTTGGTGATCACCGGAACCAGAGTAAAAAACTAGACACCCCTTTCTCCTCTGCCATTTAGGAAACTGGTCTTTCAGCACAGGAGATTTTTATAAACAAGTTCAATCCCTTTTAATGTTTCTAAAATTAAAAGCTTATTTGACATGGCGAATTCATGCTTTCAGATAAACCATAGAAAAGTACTTCCATTTTAAGAAACATTTATAAGAAAACTAATCAGTGAAAATGTGGGTTTAGAAAGACACTTCAAACAATTTACATCTTGGAGACAGTTTGCTGCTAAATGTGAGAGTGACACAAAGTGGTTCATCCATTTAGGTGCTAGTCCTCTTGTTTTTCCAGATCCATTGAAATGCTTATAATAGTGCTGTACAAAAGTAAAAAAAGCAGCAAAATATGAAACGTGTACTCAGCTGCATCTGTATTCAGCTCTAATGAAATTAGTTAATGGAGGAAAATAAGTGCATTTGAAATAAAATGCATATTACACATTATTACATGTAGCGAGCTTTAAAAATTATTATTTAACTGTGCAGAATGCCGACATTAACTAGAATGTAACTGGGAAATAAAAATCAGGTTCTTTAAAGTAGCTACCTCCTATAGATTTTGGATGAAGTGATACATATTTTTTGTTATTTAATTCACAATATCCCTTTGGTACATTCGGTGCAAAAAATAGTTTCAGGAATACCTTACCTTTATAAAAATAAAGGTGTGTGTTTGTGTGTGTGTACACACACACACACACACACCTTAAGTGTGTAAAGAATTGAACACAAGAACTATTTAACCATGGAAAAGTGAAAAGAACAAAAAAGGTCTATTTTCTTATTTACACCCTAAGAAAATCAATATTATGAACTTATAAAAATAAACAAAAGTCACTGTGTAAGAGGCTTTCTTCTTCCTGATATGCTGTGATAAACTCACATTATTTTTTTAAAAAGCCTTCATGCAGTATAAAGAATAAAGTTAACCATTAATCTCTTACAATAGCTCCCCTTCTGTTAAACATGATTTGCATATACAATTGTACAGGTTTTCCTAATTAAAAGTCTTTCTGTTCACACCATCTTTTGCTGCCAACTTTTCTTCATACCCTTGTTAAGCTGCAGAAAATAACTGTTCCTTGTGCTGTATCTTTGAAATGCAATAGATGTCATGCAGGCACACATAGATTTAGGTATAGCATAGATAGCATATTCTTGTATTGTGTAAGACATATAGTAAGTGTACCATTGGGAAATAACTCCTATTTGATTTTTAGAAAGCATTTTTACTTATCCTCTTACAATTTAGCAGCAAGCTAACAACCTTTGTATTTCACTGAACTCTGAATTTTCATGAAATCCATTTTTGAGATGTATTCGATTTTGCAGCGGTCTAATTGTTGCTAATCTCTCGTCATTTTTTAAAAAAAATCCAACTAAGTTTTAAACATTTGGTGCTCAGGGGAACAAGGCCACAATCCTCGCTCTAGAGTACTCATGCAGCTGTTACAGTTTTTCTCATTCATAAAGTCCCATTCTTCCAATTGCACTGTACAATAGGTTTTTTTTTAAATCTTTGCCACTTGCTGTAAGCATTTGTGTATTTTGGGGGAGTGATCCACAAAAGTCCCAGATACTGGGTTAGACAATTTCTGTCTTATTCAAGACCAAATGTGCTTGTCTCTTCAACAGCTGTCAACAGCTTCTCATAGAGCATGGAGAACGATGGGTAAGGAGGAAGGTCAAGACGATTGAAACAAGTGTGAGCTCTGGGGAAAAATGGAGAGAAAGTTTTTAGGACACCAAAAATCAAATGTGGAAAAACTAAGAACAAGAACTTCTTCCCAAACATACTCTAATTTAGAAATTATTATTTTTTATTTCTCATATATACATTCACAATTGTATAATCTCATAACTGTTGTTAATAATATGTATTTATAACAATTTTTCTCCCCTACAATTGACAATATAATTGAGATTGCTTTCTTACCATCCCATACACCCATCTTATTTTACAACAATCCTACTTCTTCCTTCCTTCCCTCCTTCCTTCCCTCTTTTCTTCCCTCCTTCCTTCCCCCTTCCTTCCCTCCTTTCTTCTCTCCTTCTCTCCTTCCCTCCCTCCTTCATTCCCTCCTTCCTTCCCCCTCCCTTCCCTCCTTTCTTCTCTCCTTCTCTCCTTCCCTCCTTCTTTTCCTCCTTCCTTCCCTCCTTCCTTCTCTCCTTCCTTCCCTCCTTTCTTCTCTCCTTCCTTCCCTCCTTCCTTCCCTCCTTTCTTCTCTCCTTCTCTCCTTCCTTCCCTCCTTCCTTCCCTCCTTTCTTCTCTCCT